AAAAAAAAAAAAAAAAAAAGACCCTGGCTATATTGACCCTTTTGTTAAAGGCAGTTGAAAATACAAGAACAGAAACATTAGCAGAGTAAATACTACCTTTGCCATCCTTTACAGTTAATAGAACCCATATCCTCGGATTCAGTGCACACTGAAAATGCTTGGGATTAAAAAAAGAAACTAATAAACTTAAGCCCCATTCCCATTAATTCTCTTCTAATTCTTTGGAAGAGGGCCCCTGTACCCATATATTTTAACTGCTCCCTTCCCTGTGGTGCCTATCACATACATCTGATCTGATCCTCTGCTTTCTGTAGTCATGGAAATCTGAGAAAATTCAGCAAACCAACATGAGGAAAACTAATCAAAAAGTGTCAGTTATCAACACCAACAGACTCAACACTTGAAATTAAAGGAACAATAAATTCAAATATTCTATTCATCTACAAGTATTCAGTTCTCTTTCAAGACACTATATGATAGCTAGGTGATCAACTCATCAGATTTACATGGGACTTTCTCCAGACCCAGACAGACATCTAGAGATGGCTGACCTCACTAAAAAGTACACAAGTTCAACATGATAAGATTAAACAGTAACTTTGCCCTTTTTCTTACATGGTGATCAACTCATCAGATTTACATGGGACTTTCTCCAGACCCAGACAGACATCTAGAGATGGCTGGCCTCACTAAAAAGTACACAAGTTCAACATGATAAGATTAAACAGTAGCTTTGCCCTTTTTCTTAGTAATAGCATCAAAACTAACACCTAGGTTTTAATAGTCAAAAAATCTGCCTATTAGAGATGATCTAACCTTAGGTGGTTTAGCAATAATTTACCACAGACCCATATTATAGATTCCTGCTTTCATTTAGTTCCCCAACCATACATATGGATGTTAAAATCAGTGGGCAAAAACTTCAAGGAGAAATGGGATTTATATAGTTTAAAAATACAGTGGTACCTTGGTTCACAAGCTTAATTCATTCCACGATTCTGGAAAAGATGGCCACGTTTGTGTTCACATAGGAAAGATGACCGCAGTCATGTTTGTCACTCAGTGCAGAGTTTGAAAACAAAAACAAACTTCTGCCAAATGCTCCGTTTATAAACCAAACTGTTCACAAACAAAAGCACTCATGAACCGAGGTACCACTGTATTCATTAACTCTGGGAAGTTTACAGTGGAAAATCACCTATCTGGGTGGTACTCTTGCCAAAGTGCATAATCTCATCTCAACTGTGTGAAGTCACCAGACATTCTACAAAATGACTGAACTTTACAAGCATCAAAGACACAAGGTAAATTTTCCATGACCGGAAAAGATTAGGAGCGATAACTAAACTAAGTTGGGGATTCTAGGACAGAAAAAGAATGTTTGTAAAATCTGGTGACATTTGAACAAGGCCTATGGTTTCATTAATAGTTTTATACCACTGTTAATTCACTGGTTTAGGTAACTATAGTATATAAGATGTTAATGTTAGGAGAAGCTGGATGAGAAGTATATGAAAATTATGTACTATTTTTGCAACTTTTGTTAAGTCTAAAATCAATTCAAAATAAGGTCTCCAGGTTGACTCTAATGTTTCCTAAATTTTAGAACCTGTCAGCCTGCATGCTTTTGGAACTAAAGTTGCATTGCTTTTAGTTCCCTTAGCTTCCAAAATCAATATGAAATGTCAACCACAATAAATTTGGAAAATATCTTTAACCAAGCAAATAGGTGTATAATGATTAAACACATACACGCACACATGCACGCATGCACACAACTAGCTGTCTACAAAGAGAAATCCAGCTTTATTTAGCCCTGACTGCCATAAACTGGTGGTGTGAGCTTAGGAGAAAGTCACATATTTTCTAGGCATGAAAATATCATCCATAAAACAAGTTATAATCCTGTTTATCTTCAAAATTCCATGAGTCTAACATATAATCTATTCTCACTTTCAGGAAGATGAAAATAATGAGTAAGATATAAACAACACCTAATTAAAAGTTTTGAGGATAAAAGGCAACGTGGTCAGTAATCAGCATGGGACAAATATATATTTTCCTGAAGCAAGGAAATACAAATTTAAATGATGTCAGCTTTAAATTATCAACTTTTTAAAATACTAAAATCCAATACTGATAATGCACCAAACTGGACACACTCATATTCTCCATAAAATCTTTCTAAAAGACATTTTGGTAACATGCCCACCATTTTTGGTCCAAATAATTCCCTTGAAATTTTTCCTGAGGAAACAACCAGGGATGCATATAAATATTTAGTGTAAAGAATATCATCACAACATTATTAGTAACATTAAAATCTAGAAAAAATAAAAAATATCTAAAAATAGAAAACTCCAAAACCATTAAAATGTGGTTAAAAAAAAAAGACAGTGAACTAGAAAGATGTCCATAATAAACTAAGTGAAAGTAAAAAGTAGTATCTATCATACTATCTCATAGTTTGTTTGTTTTTTTTTAATGCGTACACACATAAGAAAAAGGCTTAGAAATATAGTAAATAGGCTGGGGATTTAGCTCAGTGGTTTCACAGCCTGCCTTGCAAGCACAAGGCTCCAAGTTCAATCCCCGGTACCAAAAAAAAAAGAAAGAAATGTAGTAAATGTTAAAAGTGGTTACTAAAAGCCGGACATGGTACATGCCTACAATCCCAACACTCAGGGAGGCTAAGGCAGAAGGATTTCAAGTGTGATCCCAGTCTAGAAAACTTAGCAGTTTGCTGAGGTCCTATCTCAAAAAGGAGGTGGGGAGTCTGGAGATGTAGTTCAGTATAGATGCCCTGGGTTCAATCCCCAGTACCACTTAAAAAAAAAAGAAGTTTTCTGATGAGAAATGTATTTGCTACTTCTAAATTTTCTAAGTGAATCTATTACTTCTGTGATGAAAAAAAAAACATTCTAAATTTTTTTTTTCATGGCCTATGAATTATGAAAACATAATAAAAGTAAGTGAAAAAAACAGGATATAAAACTACCTAAATAATATGGCTCCAGTTTTGTTGGAAGGAAGGGAAAAGGGAGGAGAGGAAAAAGGAGGTTGTAGAAAATCTCAGAAATGTAACATAAAGTTTAGCTCTAATGTGAAATAAGCGGTTTTATTTTGTTGTTTACTTTCCTGAATTTTCGAAACATTTTATAATTAACATGCATTGCTTATAAGGAGGGGCTATTTCAGTAAATGTTAGTCTTGTCACTTTGTTGGAAATTTTTTTACTCAACAAATTGTTAAAACATACAATATTTACTAACAAAACTCCTTCTGCATATCAGTAAGCTGGTATTTTTCAGTTTAGATAGTAAGGAGAAAGATTGGTGGTGTTTTATAATAAAATTGAATTTGGTCCTGAAAAGATATTTAGTATATTCACACCTTCTCTTTTCAGATCCTTGTGTTTTGAAGTTAAGAGTGCGTGAAAACTAAATAGAAAACACTGCCTAACCTCAATGTCATATGAGTTCCATCCCCTTCTTTACTTGGGGAGAACAAACAGTCACTCAGTCACCTAAAGCCTTCTAGCAAGGTGGACCAAGAAGGAGGTCATCACCTTCAATGCAGGCTATGGAGTCCTTTTCCTGGTCAGAGATATCCTGGCAAGGATGCCCCCACATGCATAAGCAAAGGTCCAGGGAGGGATGTCTGGTTCTATTTCCACCTCTTGCAATACTAGCTGTACCACTAGGGGGCAAGAGGTTTGCTGGCCCACCTGACATATGCCAGCCTAGGGGATCTGGGACTAATGCTCACTTCCAGGGTGGGCAGCGCTGTCCAACAGCAACAAAGGCTGTATAAATTAAAAAGCTTCTTTTAAACCACAACAAAAATATTACCTTTTCTTTCAAAGCTTTCCTCTCTGACAAAGCAAACAAGAGCCAGGAACTTTGTCACCTCTTTTAAGTAAAGAACTGTTGTATTATTCAGCTTTATAATGGCTGTTGATTCCTTGTCATAGGGGGTTCCTGCACCATCGTCTTTGAGACTAAATGGGGACAGAAAACAAAATGTATTTACCAACTTTAATGCACAGAAAAACCACAACAAGTCAATAACATTTCCAGTGCTTTTCAACCAAAAAGCTCTGTTACAATATAGCCACCAACCAACAGTCTAGTCATGACAGTCATTGTCCTACTGACACAATGAATGGCAGCTAGGTGCCTGAGGAACACAGGTGACAGGTGGAGTTGAACTCTTCTTCCCTCCACAGCCAAGGGCTTTTTATTTTCTCATGGTAAAACAATCAAGCTGTCAAAAGTAAAATATATAAAATGTAAACAGTGGGGCCGGAGATTTAGCTCAGTGGTTCCAGCATGTGCCTCACAAGCACAAAGACCGGAGTTCGGTCCCTTGGAAAAAAAAAAAAAAAAAAAAAAAAAGTAAACCGATTGACTTAGAGGTGAAATTATACGCTATTTTAATTTTATTCTTCATACTTTTATGTGTTCTCTACATAACATATGCATCACTTTACCTACCAAAAGAAAATATCAAACCAATTAGAGAAAACAAAACAAAAAAAACCCATAAAAAAATTACAAGTATAAATTGGTGAGATTTTGCAATTACAATTACGTTTTATTTAATTTTTCATCTAGGAACAATGAAAACATACAAAGGGGGAACATAGTATAAGAGTGTGTGTGTGTGTGTGTGTGTGTGTGTGTGTGTGTGTGTGTGTGTAGAGCTGTCAGCTATGGCAAGAGCTCAGCTGAGAGATTCCTGTGGCGCCAGGTCACCTGCTTCTCAGGCTGTGGTCTGTGGTCTCCACCAGCATACGCATCAGAGAAAGGGCAGCAAAACCTCCATCACAGGGCCCAGGGCTCGCAGGCAGCCCCCTGCTGGTTCATTGGGCTGGCTCCTTTCAGCTCTAGCAAACAATCTGAAGACACCCCACTGCCCACAAAGGTGGATCACAGAGGTGTGATCCAGGCTGGTTCTTACTGAACCCTGTGGGTTTTCAGGAACACTGCACTTCACCACAGAAAAACAATCTGATGGCACAGCCTAGTTTCTTCCTGCCAGCCTCCTCCCTCCTCATGTTTGTTTTAGCTGGGTAAAAGTAACTCTGATTAACATCATTTACATGAACAACTTACCACTTATGTCTAATTACCATATAGCACAATAATGATCGTGCATATCATTAAATATGTGCCAGATTAATTGTGTTGTTCGTTGTACTTGATTACCACAGTAATCCAGACTGTAATCAGGGTTCATTCAGCTTCTGTGACTATTTCAAGGTCATCTACTTAATGGCTTAACAATAAAAGAATTCTGCAGGGTGGTAATCTTGGGAAGTAAGGTCTGTTTTGAAAGCCAGATGGCAATGTCTAATAATAATAACAACACCAACAGTAATAAATTATGGCAGCTACATTTATCTGCGGTCTACCAAGTCAAGGCACATTATAAGTCTAAGGGTGTTTCATCCTCACCACAATCCTGACAGCTAGGTATTGCTATCCCCATTTCATAACAAAAGGGACTGACTGTGCTGCAGGGCAGGGTAACAGAGTTTGGGCAAAGGATTTTCAGACAGTAGAAGAGAGAAGTGGTGAGACTGATGAAGGCAGAGTCAGGAAGTGAGTAAAAATGGGAGATGACCAGGGCTTCCACCTCACCACGACTGGATGAAAATGCAAGATCCGATACAAACAGACAGCAACACCTTGTTGTCATGAGATAAACACCTAGTTTACATTCCCGTGCTCTGCAGAATACTTTCAGCAAATTCATGAATACATAGGATTATCTCTACAATAATCAATTTTCTCCTTTTCATTTATTTGATACTATTTTTAGTGTGTCGGAGTGTGTTTTCTAAGAATGTGAGATCATAATAATAGGAAGCAGGTAATGTTCGTTTAGTTTTATAATTCTCTGCTGCTTGTAGACAAAAGCATGTTTTTAAAGAAACAAGTTATTTTTTGTAACGTGATAAGAGAAATATTAATTTGAGCTGTGTAGAGTTTTAGTCTCCTAGAAGAGTATATGCCATCATAATATGCTGACAGATTTTTTTCAGCAGAGGATTGGGAATCATTTAGACCTGAGTTCAAATTCTAGTTCTGTTTCTTATTGACACTCAGCAGTGGTTAGAGATTTAACCACTCTGAATGTTAGTATCTTTATCTATAAAATAAGTATAGCAATCCATGCCTCATGGAACAGTTGAAAATTAAACTATAAGATGCATGCAATAAGATTATTAACATAGCCAGTAATTTGCTCATTGTTTCTTATCATTATTATAAAGACTAAATGGTATATTTATAGGTTTACGTCATTTAAAACAGAAGTACTCAGGCCAGGGATTTAGCTCAGTGGTTCTACCACCTGCCTTACAAGTGTAAGGACCAGAGTTCGATCTCTGGTACCCTAAATAAATAAATAAAACAGAAGTACTGAGCTGGGAATATGGCTCAATGATACAGCGTTTGCCTAGTATGCATGAAGCCTTCGGTTTGGTACCAGTACCACAAGAAAACAAAAAGTATTAAAATTATAAATGCACAATACCTTGAAGGTTATGAAAGAGAATGACAGTTTGATGTGGCCTTTAAGAATGCTTTACTAGGGCCGGGGATTTAGCTCAGTGGTTCTGCTACCTGCCTCGCAAGCACAAGGACCAGAGTTCAATCCCTGGTACCAAACAAAAAAAGAATGCTTCACTTACCCGTAAATACAAGAGATGTCAATAACCACATCTATCATATCACAGCAGAGTTCATAGGTTTGCATATCCACTGGAGTGCTGTCAGTTGCAATATAAATTTTACTGACCACATCAAATAGAAATGCCTTTTCAATTCCAGAATTCTGAAGAAAAAAAAAGATGTTACCTTAAAGCAATAGCCAGTTTCAGACCATGTTGTGTTTATGTAAAATTATATACTAGAGTATTCTCAATGTAATATACGAATGAGCAAAATTAAGTTATTACAAACTCCAGTTATACCACTTTTGTTACAATTACAACTTCATTCTCATAAACATCTTGGGTTTTTTTGGTTTTTTTTTTTGGTACCTGGAATCGAACTCGGGCCCTTGTGCTTGTGAGACAGGTGGCGGAACCACTGAGTCAAATCCCTGGCCCTTCATAAACTTTATAATGGACTCGTAGAAGAAATGAAAACTAGAATTATCACAAATTATTTATTTTGGACAATGTTTCCTAACTCAAGCTCGTGGTTTGTAGAGTTCACTCAGTGCATCATTCTATACAGTGTTAAACATAAAAAATTATTCAAGTATATGCTTCATCACCAAAACTAAATTGTATGCTCTTTACTCTGGTAGAGTTCTACTAATAATGATGATTGCTGGGCCAGAGATTTTAGCTCAGTGTTTCTGGAGCCTGCCTCACAAGGCCAAGGACCCGAGTTCGATCCCCATTACCAAAAAATAAAATAAAATAAAAAATAATGATGATTGCCTACAACTTAAATAAATACTTCAATTACACTAGTTAAGTACACATTTTGGGAGTTGAATTTTAAAGGCTCTAAAACAATATGTAGGAGTAGTCATCAAAAGTAATCCTTATGTGACCTTGAAATGCTGTAAGACTAAGCAAAAATAAGATCTTTTTCACTTTTACAATGTTATTGTCAAATCCTGCAAATTATTCTAACAGGAGCAAATTATTTACTTACTGAGATAAAGATGTTTAGCAAATTCTCTAGAGTTGGGAGTTGTGGAATCAGTTTCTGAACCACCTTGCTAAAAGCTTCAAATATTGAATGATCATATATGCTTGTCAGATAAAAGCTAAAAGAGAAAACAATATTTCATTATGTTTTCCCTTTGACTGAGAAATAGTTTGCTTAAGCTATGTGATAATACCACGAATCTCCCTTCTGTAGCTAGTGCTAACACACATACTAACCTGCTGCAGAATTCACAACATGCTTGGTAAAAAAATGATAGATTTTAAGTCATCTTGCCTCATCCCCTAAGATGCCAGAACTGTTCCTGTTCATGTCTGCTGACTGGCATCCTTAAAAATATGGCCATATTTGCCCACACCATCTTTAGGTTCTTTCAGAGAATCCACACCTGACCATCTTCACATAAGCCATTAGCTATCTGATTAAATTATCAATATTGATGTGTCTAATTGTTTTCATTTACCATTTTGCAAAATGAATGATGCATACACTACCTCACAAAGAATGATGGAAAAAATTGTTTTCCTTTGTGTGTATCTCTAGCTGACCTAAATTTCAAACTAGGCTTGACTACAGCCCATCATATTTATCAAGAACTATAAAGTTTAGCATTAATTTCCCAGATTAGATGTTTTTGGTTTTATTATATTTTTCATATGAGGTAAGATCTTAGCTTTGACCACTTGTTAAAAACAATCTTTTGGGCTGGGGATTTAGTTCAGTGGCACCGCTCCTGCTTTGCAAGAGCAAGGTCCTGAATTTGATCCCCAGTACCAAAAGAAAAAAAAAATAACCTTTCACCAAAGGTTAGAATTAATGTGTTCAAAACTCTTTTTTTCCTAAATCCTATCCTATTGCCACAGCACAAGCACATAAACAAAGTAAATTAGTACCCAGGCCAAGCCTACCAAAGCAACTCTCAGGCCCAAGATGCTTTTTTCTATCCTTTACTAGGATCTCTAAGTGACTTCTGTTCTTACCTGAGGTGAATTTTTTCTAATCCAGCATCTGCAAGATCATCATTTGCCCTCTGGTGAATGTCTCTTTGGGTTTCAATTTTGTGGTCATCTGACAAACCATCCACTTTATGAATAAACACTTCAAAATTGATGTCTGTGTTCACCTTGTAGGCCCTGGTCACTGTGAGATGGAGCCTGGCCAGGGCTTCCATATAGTCATCCTGGGAACAAAGGCAACACCTGTGAGGTGAGAGGAGACAGCTCTGCTTCTAGAGCCTTCCATACACTCTGCCGGGATCATATCACCACCAAGTACAGTATTTTGCAAAGGATCCCCCCAAAACTTGGCTTTATAGAAGTCAAGTTTGAAAACCTGTTTTTTTGACACACAGAAAGAAAAGCTAACAAAATGCAGGCATAACTTAGGCTGATGACAGCCATTAAGAGCAGAGCTGCAGTTTCAGGAAGAGAAACTGACCTCATACCACCTAGGATAGTTCCTCCGAGCTTTCTGAGTCTCTTGGTGAACTGTGTGACTGATTAGAGATGGTGATATGAGAGAGGTCACTAGGAAGGGGAAGCTGCTATGGGAATAACTTTAAGAACACCAGTTCAGAGGAGAAGTCAGCAAGCCATGCTCCCCAGGGCCCGTGCATGGTTTCTGTAAGGAAGCTTTATTGGAACTCAGCCATGCTCATTTGTTTGCACACTGTCTAAGGCTACTTTCATGCCATGATGTCACCAATGAGCAGTTTTCCTTTGTGGCAGCTCCTTACAGACAGCACAGCCTCAGATATTTCACCATCTAACCCATTACAGAAAATCTGCTGACCCAGAGGGTAGGAGAGTAATTACCTGAAACAATACAAGGGGAGACCTTCCTACACCTATGCAATACTATAAACATCTGTGTATCCATCAACCCAAAGTTAAGAGAATTTCTCCCAACCCAGCCTGTTCCATTACTGTCATCCTCCAGAGGCAACCTCTGCCCATGCTTATTGGCCCTCATCTTTCTGCACCACACATATACATCCCCAAACAACAGTATTCTTTTACATTGTTTAAATTTTCACATAAATATCAAGTTTGCTCAACATTATGTCAGGGAAATTTGCCTATGTTGAAGTACGTAACTCTAATAATTCCTTTTAATTACTGAAATTTCATTCTATGGATGATCTATCACATATTTGCTTGTTAAGAGACATTCCAAATGTTTCCAAGCATGTATGATAAAGTGGTAATGTGTATCTCAGGTGCATACAATCTACCCCAAGGGCTTTACTTGTCCATCCTAGGTATGAGCACCTCAAACGTGACTGGATGGCTTTATATAGTGTCTAATGCTCCAGACCCTCACCAACACCTGTGTTGCCGGATCTTTGAGTTATTGCTAGTTTAAAAAGTGTGGCTAGATCTTGTTTTTATAGCAAAAATAGGAAAAATGTCTTTCATAAGAAATTTAAAGGACTTAACTACCACCACCCTTGGCCCACCCCACAGCTGATTATGACTCCAACTCTGGAAAATAAAGGAAATTGATATAACAGGGTATATTTTTTGGCTTTCTGTTCTCCAAACTTAATCAAATCAATAGCCAGGCATAGTAGCACATGTCTGTATGCAAGTGTTCTAGGAGACTGAGGCAGGAGGATTGCAAATTTGCGTCCAGCCTAGCCAACCGAGCAAGACCTTGTCTCAAAATGCTTATATGTAGCTTAGTGTGAAGGCTCTGGGTTTAATCCCCAGGGCAGGCACATGCATTCATGCACACACAGCACCTAAAATGACATTAGGAGGAAGAAACAGCACAGTGGGAATGTAGCTCACTGGGAGAGCACTTGTCTAGCATGCATGAAGCCCTGGTTTGCTCTCCAGCACTACAAAAAGAAGAAAATGTTTGGTTCATTAGAACAGAGGGGTTGCAGATGATTCCACTGTGATCATTATTTCCTTCAATGACAAAGAGAAATAAAAGAAAAATATACTGCCTAGTTTCTACTCTGAAATTAGATCTAGGAATCAGAAGCAGGTCAGCCACCATGAACACAGGTCAAGTGGAGACTCTCTGGGGTCCAAAGGCACATATGCAATCATTTCAGGAAACATGGTAGGTTCTGTGGTCTCCACAGAGCAGCAGGGGTATCACACATTCAGTTCCCAGGAAATCACTCTTGTTTTCATTCCTCATTCTCTCTCAATGTTCTGTGAGGACATATTTTCTCCTTGGAGACATATTTATCTAGCAGTCCGGTGACTATGAAGAATTCATAGGCAAAATATAAAAACAGGAGGTGTCAGAGCAAAAAACACCACTTAGAAATAAAGGAAAGGACACTCATGTGCTGCTGAGGCGCTTTCTTGAAGCCTCGTTTTCCTTTTAGTGCTTGTAATACTGTGAGAGAGGAGGATTGCAAATTTGCGTCCAGCCTAGCCAACCGAGCAAGACCTTGTCTCAAAATGCTTATATGTAGCTTAGTGTGAAGGCTCTGGGTTTAATCCCCAGGGCAGGCACATGCGTTCATGCACACACAACCTAAAATGTAAATCAATAGCCAGGCATAGTAGCACATGTCTGTATGCAAGTGTTCTAGGAGACTGAGGCAGGAGGATTGCAAATTTGCGTCCAGCCTAGCCAACCGAGCAAGACCTTGTCTCAAAATGCTTATATGTAGCTTAGTGTGAAGGCTCTGGGTTTAATCCCCAGGGCAGGCACATGCGTTCATGCACACACAGCACCTAAAATGACATTAGGAGGAAGAAACAGCACAGTGGGAATGTAGCTCACTGGGAGAGCACTTGTCTAGCATGCATGAAGCCCTGGTTTGCTCTCCAGCACTACAAAAAGAAGAAAATGTTTGGTTCATTAGAACAGAGGGGTTGCAGATGATTCCACTGTGATCATTATTTCCTTCAATGACAAAGAGAAATAAAAGAAAAATATACTGCCTAGTTTCTACTCTGAAATTAGATCTAGGAATCAGAAGCAGGTCAGCCACCATGAACACAGGTCAAGTGGAGACTCTCTGGGGTCCAAAGGCACATATGCAATCATTTCAGGAAACATGGTAGGTTCTGTGGTCTCCACAGAGCAGCAGGGGTATCACACATTCAGTTCCCAGGAAATCACTCTTGTTTTCATTCCTCATTCTCTCTCAATGTTCTGTGAGGACATATTTTCTCCTTGGAGACATATTTATCTAGCAGTCCGGTGACTATGAAGAATTCATAGGCAAAATATAAAAACAGGAGGTGTCAGAGCAAAAAACACCGCTTAGAAATAAAGGAAAGGACACTCATGTGCTGCTGAGGCGCTTTCTTGAAGCCTCGTTTTCCTTTTAGTGCTTGTAATCACATCATGTAAATCTTTTTTTTTTTTCTTTTTTTTTGATTATTTGAGACAGGGTCTCACTGTATAGTTGAGACTGACCTGGAACTCACTGTGTAGCCCAGGCTGGTCTCAAACTCACAGCGATCCTCCTGCCTCAGCCTCCCGAGTGCTGGGATTACAGGCATGCACCACCACGCCCGGCCCACATGTAAATCTTGCAAACATGACTTTTACAGTCTGCTTCCAACATAAAAGTATTAGTATCTCTGAAACTGCTTTTTTGGTTTTTTTTGGTACCAGGGATCGAACTCGGGACCTTGTGCTTGCAAGGCAGCTGGCGGAACCACTGAGCTAAATCCCTGGCCCTCTGAAACTGCTTTTTACATTTTTCATTGATTTTTGGTAAATGACAATGCTCCATATTTTTCCTACTATTTTTTTGCAGTGTTAGGGATTGAACCCAGGGCCTCTGCCTTTTAGGCAAGTGTTCGGTACTGCTGAGCCACGTTCCCAGACCTCCTAGTCATTTTTTTTCTTATACTGGGGTTCTAACTCAGAACCTTGCGCTCTCCTTGCAAAGGAGACACAGTGCCACTGATCTAAATCCCAGGCCCCCCAGTCATTTGTAACAAAAAGACAAATCTCTCAATTCTCTTCCTCTCTCTTACAGCTTAAAAAAAAAAGGAACAAAACTAAAACAGGAAACACATTTATCAACCCATATGGAAGGTCTCCTTTTTCATGTGCAGTCAAAATCAAAACCAAATTACAGATGCAATCTACAAATAGGCAAATGTACCTATTTTAGCCAAATTACAGCCATGTTGTAAACACCTAAAATAGATATGCAGTAGAAATTTGAATTTCATAACTAAATTGTTAGGCAGGCACAACAGTAGTTTAGCATTATCTTGAAATGGTGAGTTGTCTGGTTAGAATCTACTTACAGGCAGGACTACTATACTGCTACCTAAATAACTACAGAAACAGGGCTAAGTGACTCAGGGAGAAAATGCAGCTTAGAAGAGATGACATCTGCAGAGCATTCACTCCCTGGAGTTTGAGCACCCCCTTTCCACTCCCTGCAGGCTCCAAGCTTCCCAGTTTTATGGTGCTGGAATACAGAGACGGGAAGGCAGGGATACTGCCAAGGCCACAGATGGGCCAGAAACAGGTCAGTACAAGTAGGACATCCAGGAAAGCATCTGCTGACGGCAGGCCCTGGAAAGATGCAGGTGTCTGCAGCATGCCCAACACATGCACTGCTGGGTGGGCCCAGGGAAGAGAAAAATGCTGTTCATGGATCAGGCACTAGATTTAATGTGCCCTCCCTCTACACTCTCACCACAGAGGCAAGACAGAACCCCTTCTAACTAACCTACAGCCATGCTTCACAGCTACACAGTGCAGCCTCTTGAAACTAAAATGGTTCATTGAAAATTTCATTAGTATGTTATATAAACAGGCGCCCACTTCCCAGTCTTCTGAGGCATAAGCAAGCAGTCCTCTCAGAGAGTGGCTGTCCAAGTAGGGGCTCAAGACCACGCTTACTAAGTCTCCATGACATCCCTGGAGGGGACTGCTGTTCAGACAGTGGTTATGCACACCAGCAGCGGGCTGACCCATTTACTTGTAGGTTCAGTTTCAAGGAACTATCCAGATTTGAACTTCAGAGCCTGGAGGACTTGTTGCCTTTTACTGCCCCACAGCTACAAAGGAGACCTTAGAGAAGTCTACAGTCTAGGATGAGTCACAGTCACATTTTAAGAGTGTTTGCAGAGCATCAGTGCCCCAATCCTGCTACAGGTATCCTCCCTGAAACTAATCTGCCTGAGATGCACCTGTGATCCTGCTGCCCCCATTTCCCTCCTCCCCAGCTACTGGAGAAAGGCCCCAGGTGTAAAAGACCCAGGTGTCAAAGAGCCAGTGCAAAGCTAATGTGAATCTGATAAAGAGAATGACTAATGGCTTCACTAGCCAAGGGATTCCTATTTCTTTGTTTCCAACAAAGCTGAACCTAAACAGGACATCTATAGATAAGCTACTAAAATAATTCTTCATGATAGAAATCTGGGTAATGTAGGGGATATAACATGGAAGGAGTTTAAATAATTGGACAAATGCTGTAGCAAATGTTACTTATTTATGTGAACACAGCTTCTCAATGCTTACATTTACACAAGCAGAATACAAAAAGAACTGCTCCAAATCCTGTCTTATTCCAGCACAGATATGTAATCTAAACAGAAAAATATCAACTATTCATCTTATCCTTTTTAGTATTGAAGATTAAACCCAGGGCTTTGATATACAAGTGCTCTACCACTAGAAGCTACATCCTTCATGCTTGTATTTAACACAAAATCTTGCTAAATTGCCCAAGTTGGCCTTGAGCTCACAATCCTCCCTACTCAGCCTCTTGAGTAGCTGGAACAGGTGTGTGCCACCACACCCTGCTATACATCTTTTTAAGAGATATTTATCTCCAATTTTATTTTTTAATACTTACTTATAAAATATATAATTATATTATCTTAGTTGTACATTAGTTACAATTATTATTTGATACAAAGGAAAATTTTTGTCCTTTATCATCATAAGAAATAGTAAACATTTTAAAATGTAAACTTATGTACACGCCTTTTGCAGGGAACCTGTGTAAAAGTGTTTTAAAAATTCATCTTTGTAAGTTACACGATTTTTTGAGACAGGCTTGCTAGGTAGTTCAGGCTGGTCTTGAACTCAATATGTAGACCAGGCCAGCCTCAAATTCAATGATCCTCCTGCCTCAGCCTCCCAAGTGCTCGGATTATAGGTGTGCACCACCATATCTATCCTGTTACAGTTTTAAACATGACTAGGAAAGACCTTTTGGAGATGTCTGTCAAGGGTACCACAGGGGGTGATACATATTTGTCCTTCTCCTGGACAGGCCCCACCATCTGTGAGGTTTCCCAGGTTTATGATCTGTGGAAGTGTATACAGCTCCATAATGGTCAGCTGCCTCTTGGTCAGGGAAGGATGAAGGAATCCTTTTCTCCTTGCAATGTCTGAGGACCCTAAGAAGCCCATTTGGTAAAAAGGCCTGTGCTAGATGTAAAAATCCAACAGAAACTGTTATAAACAAATAGGGAGAGGTTCTGCTTCTCCTGGGGCTACAGGGCCATCAAACCCTTGAGACTATGAGCTGTACCTGGGAGTCGATGACAAATATTAGTGCTCCTGTACCCCTGAAGATCATCTCATAGTCAAATGTAGGGTCGAAAAAGTCGATCTGTCCTGGGAAGTCCCAAATCTGAAAATTGACAAAGGAGCTGTTGGAAACGTCTTCCCGGCATATCTTGTTAGTACTCTCCAAGAACAGTGTTTCGTTGGGAGACATTTTGTGAAAGACAACTTTCTGAATAGATGACTTGCCACTTCTCCTCAGACCCATGAGCAGGATTCTCGGCTTCACCTCAGAGCTGAAAGGATCACTGAAGTCCAGAACTGGAGAAACCACAAAACAAGAATGAGGGTGAGTTGTTTTCACAGTGGTTAATTAGAGGAGTTTCACTTCCACCTCAAATATGACTTAGGACTCACAGATGATGCTCCTCTTCAAAATGCAAGAAATGACAACTCCACCAGCCTGTTCGTGGAGGGGACAGCTCTGGGAAGTACAAAACACTGAAAAATGCTGTTTCACTGCCTTATGGCACCTCACAGGGGCAGAGACATGTGAAAATGCACATCCCTGTAATATGAAGAGCAAAGACTTCCTGGAGTAGACTATCCTCAAAGAATGCAGATGAAGGATGCACAGTGCAGAATGTTTAGCATACTGGAGCAGTGTCTTTTTCTACATCATCATCAGAGAGTCTCTGTGTGCTACAAAGACACTTGTACTGAATTATACCTCTCTAGGTTCCCCTCTCCTGGCCAGTGCTCTCACAGGCCACAAAGGCCTACAAAGTGGGTCTGGACTAGAAGCCTCAGATTTAGATTACATCAGAAAGTAGGTGCACATTTTGTGCACCTTACAGGCCCACTCTGGCTTTTGGCCTACACCACCCGGAAAGCTAACTACTAATCATATACGCCTTTCTAAATTAAATTAAATGGGTTAAAATTAGATATTCAGAGGTATCTCAGCATCTCAGATGCTGAGACAGGAAGATCTCATATTCAGGACAAGCCTATGTAATTTAGAGACCCTGTCAAAATTTTTAAAAGGGCTGGGGAATTAGCTCAGTTGTAGAGCACGCTTGCCTAGCACGCAAAAGGCCCTGGGTTCAATCCTCAGTACAACAACAGCAAATTAGAGATTCAGATCCTTTTCATATGAAGTTCCTGGAGTAGTCAAATTCACAGACACAGAAAAGAGAGGGGCCAGGGATTTTATTCAGTGGTTCCACCACCTGCCTCTCAAGTGCAAGGAACTGAGTTGGATCCCTGATACAAAAAAAAGAAAGAAAATAGAACGGCAGTTTCCAGGGCCTGGAAAGAGAAAGGAATGAGGAGTTTAATGGATAAAGAGTTTCCATTTGGGAAAATAAAAAAGTTTCAGAGGTGGATGAAGGTGATAAATGTATATCATTGTGAATACACAGTACCACCAATGTGTGGAATCAAAAATGGTTAAAATAAAAGCTGGGTGTGGTGGTACACGCCTGTAAATCCAGCACTCAGGAGGCAAAGGCAGGAAGACTGTGGTGAGTTCAAGGTCAGCCTGGGCTACATAGCAAGACCTTGTCTCCAAAAGAAAAAAAAAAGTTAAAAATTAAGAAAATTTCTGCTGTATATATTTTACCACGATAAAAATGATTTTGTACCTTGGTTTTATAACTCCTGCCAGGGCTCAACAGCCACACTGGCAAGTGGCTAACATAAATGAACAACACTGATAACAGAACATTTTTATCATCACCAGAAGTCCAGGAGGTCAGCACCACTCTATTCCCTGGTAACAAAACCTTATCCCTAAAATCCTCTGCCAAGAGTGCTAGAGGGATGACTATTACTGGATTAGAGTAGAAATTGGTGCAGAACTTCAGAACACTGAAAGACTCACTCTTCTTTTGGAATACATAGCGTTAGTTCCACAAAGCCCGTTTAGTCCTAGACATCCACTTACTTTCTAAGCAGTCTTCCTGCTTGACAAAAAGCTTGTACATTTCATAGAAGCAAAGGGAGAGTAGCCTAGTGGGTAAGTGTTGGGGAGGTCCCTAAAGTTACTAAAATTTACGGCTTCAGCTATCCCACCTTGAAAAAGATACTTAGCTTTTGAGAATTAGTTTCAAAAGCCATAAAATGGAATTGATAATTACAATAAACATCCCATAGGACTGCTATGATAGTTAAATGAGATAAAGGACCTAAAATAATTTTTAAAATAGGACTTATTCAAAAAAGCGTGCTTGACCACCTAGTTATCCACATGCACAAGAATGAAGGTGACCCTTGCCTCACACCAAACATATAACATTAAGAGCTAAAACTATAAAACTTGTAAGAGAAAACATAAGTAGTAATCTTGGTGTCCTTGATCAGGCAGTAGTTTCTTAGCTTTATGACAATAAAAGCACAAGCACCCATAAAAGGAAAAAACAGATAAATTGGACTTCATCAAAATTTAAAAAGAAAATTTTAAATTCATCAAAATTTTAAAGAGCTAACAAAATGGAAGAAAATATTTGCAAATTATATATACAATAAGGTTCTAATAACCTGAATATATAAAGAACTCTTACAACTCAATAGTTTAAAAAAAAAGTCCAAGTAGACATCTCTCCCCAAGAAAACATAAATGGCCAAAGGCATATGAGAAAATGCTTCACATCAAAGCCACAATGAGACACCGCTTCACATCCACTAGAATGGCTATAATTCAGAAAAGACAGGTACTAACAAATGCTGGTAAGAATGTAGAGAAATTGTAACCCTCATGTCCTAGTGGAGGAAATGCAAAATGGTTTACTTTGAAAAATAGTTGGCAGTTCCTCAAAAGCTTAAATATAGAGCTACCATGTGACTCATCAGTTCCATTCCTGAGAAGAGTCCACGCAGAAGTTTGTACATCATATTTACTTATGATACCCAAAAATGTGGGAAAGAAACAAAACTCTATCAACTGATGAATGGATAAGCAGAACGTGGTCTAGCCACATGGAAATTATTCAGCCATAAAAAGGAATGAGGTGCTAATACATGTTATAACAGGGATGAATGCTGAAAGCATTACACTACATGAAAGAAGCCAGACACAAAACATTACATATTGTAGGATTCCATCTACATGAGCTATCCAGAAAGGACAAATCTATTTGGAAAAAGAGATAAGTGGTGGCCAGGAGCTGGAGAGAAGGGAAAATGGAAAGTGACTGTTAACTAGTATGTAGTATCTTTGGAGTGAAGAAAATGTTCTGGGCTCAAAGTGATAATGATTGCATGCATTTGTGAATATCCTAAAAAATCCAATGAATTGTACATTGGGGGGGATTGTATTGTTTTTATTTGTTATTGTTATTTGTTTTGTTATTGTTTCATTAGACAGGGTCTTGCCATGTAGTCCAAGCTGGTGTAGAACTCAGGCTGGCTTCAAATTCACAATCCTCCTGCCTCAGACTCCCAAGTGCTGCAATTACACATGAATGTCGCCATGCACCCACCTTGAACTACACTATACATTAAAGTGGCAAATATTAAGTATGTTATTTGAAGTATGTTCAATTTTTTTTAAATACTGAGGATTGAACTCGGAGCCTTATGCATGCTGGGGCAAACACTCTACCAGTGAACGACACGCCCAGTCTTTTGTTTTTTTAGACAGGCCTCACTAAATTGCCCAGGCTGACCTTGAACTTGCAGTACTGCCTCAGCCTCTTGAATAGCTGAGATTACAGATATGCATCACCATGCTCAGTTTATATCTCAATTTTTTAAAAGAGGCTTCATGATGACCCAAAACACATACACAAAAACAAAAGTCCCATTATTAAAGTTTCAGAAAGATCAAGAAACAAATATCTTTCTTTAGTAAAGGAAAACGCCAGACATAGTAGCACATGCCTATGATCCCAGCTGCTCAGGAAGATGAGGCAGGAATTGCAAGTTTGAGGCTAGGGAAGATAATTTAGGAAGACCCTATTTTAAAAAAAAATTCAGAAGAGCTAAGGATGTAGCTCATTGTAACCTGGGTTCAATCTCTAGTGAAGAAGGAAGAGGAGGAGGAGGAGAAAAAGGAGGAACAGGATGAAGTAAAGGAGAAGAGATGAGAAAGAGGCAGAAGAATATGAGCAAATATAGTTATGCATATATTAAATTATTTTTCTAAACTTATTTTTGTTACTACATTATGTGTTTCTCTATCCCTAGTCGTAGTCTCACCATAATCATATAAAGACTGGAAAAATAATGTTTTCCTAATGTAATTAACCATTTTCCCCTAAAATCCTAGTTTTCTAAAACATGTTAATATTTGATACCTTAGTAAATTTAATTTACTGTTTGCAATAATATAGGTAAACACATAAATTTCAGAAAAAACAATAAAGAAAGAAAAAGTAGGCAGGTACAAATGTGCACATTCCTGACAACATGTACTGTTTTCCAGTTCAACTTAATAAAGTTCAACAGATTGCTGATGATATATGATAAAGGCTGTAACATGAACGAAAGCTACCTTAAAAGTCACCAGCTTTCTCCTTCCCTAGTGCTTATATGCTGCTTACCCACAGTACTGCCATTACAAGTTTACCTTAGCAAAAGCAAGTCATGAATTGAAAAAGACAACAAAACTTGAAGTTTAAAAATATCAGACTGCTAACATGTTACAGTCTTCCCTCTCAAACTAAATCCCTAAGAACAATGGAAAATGTATGCATAATAAATAGATAAATTAAAAAAACATGGATAGCTTAGCTTAAAACAAAAAGAACTGAGAGTTGATAATTAAGAAAACCCCTAAGGAACACAAAGATCAGACTGAAGACAGAACATGCAGTCCTTGGCTCCCAGTGGTAGGGTTCTGCTGCAGAAGGTAGGACCCACAGCGGAAAGGGAACTAAGGCAATCTACAAGGTCATTATTAGAAGAATCAGGGCCAGGGATTTAGCTCAGTGGCACCAAGCCTGCCTTGCAAGCACAAGGTCCTGAGTTTGATCCCTAGTACCAAAAGAAAAAAATTCTAGATGAATCACAATGAGAAAAGCCAAGGAGATAAACTCTGTGCCACTTGTCCAACCCTCCCCCACCAACATATACACACACAAGTAGGTACTAGGTTATCTTCCAGGTGGGGGCAGTGAATTCAGGAGCTTTGGTATGAGAAGGGAGGAAATGTCTCAGGGGTTAGTGATGCCAAAAAGGAACAGGGGACACCCACACTACTTCCCTCACTCTCGCTACAAACCTGGAATACAGCACCACCAAAGAGGGAACCATACCATCTTCCCTTCAGACACTTCCTCAAACACCTAACACTTGGGGAATACCACCATTATAAAGGA